CACCCGTGGCGTGCTGCAAACGGCTGCTTGTGCTAACCAAGCCCGTTAGCGCAGGGGGGCGGCGGCGGTGCCCCCACGGCGAAGACACCTCCTGCCTCTCAAAAAAGTTGAACGTCATCATAAAAATGGCATCCTCCAAGTTTCGACCTTGGGGGGGGCATACTCACAAACAATACCCTCTTCACCCGAACACAACGCACCCTCGTTTTGGCTGCACGGACCCGGAAAGATAGCTCGTATAGATTCAGAATCAGGGTGCGTTATGTACGGAGGAAGATGGTAGCACTTTCCTAAATGTATCTGCCGGAATTATGGCCAGACCATTATGAATCTGGCGGCAATCACATCCAGATCCTTACAGAAAAAGTCCCAGTACGAAGTATGCTCGCAAAGAAGAAGGTGTGAGTGAGTGGCAAGTCAAAAACAGCAGCAGAGGAGAGGGATTGCACAACTGCTGGGGGATCCAAACCGCGGGTTTGAATGACGATTTCAATCTATGGCCTTTACATTCTCTCTTTCTAATCACTTAGTGCCCAGAAGCAGGGGGGTGCTTGATTGACTGGAAAAAAGGCTCGGGGGGGGCTTCCCTAGGGCGGCAGGTTGGTCTGAGAACATCTGAGATTTGAATGACAAGGACGACGACAACAACAACAACAACAGCAACAACAGCAGCAACAGCAGCAACAGCAGCAAGAACAGCAACAACAGCAGCAACAGCAGCAGCAACAGCAACGGAAGGTGGTTTATTGACTGAAACCCTGAGGTTTTCCAAAGGGAGGAGACTATTCTGAGGACATCTGAGATAAAGACAACAAATAAAGAAAAGAAAAGGAGCTTGATTGACTAGCTAGCAGCTGTATTGGTTTTTGTGAGCTTTGTGAGCTCTGCCATGCCGACTGCATACCCATCAAACCGCTTTGGTAGGCTCAGTCAGTCCTACAGTTAGTGCGTAGGCTGCTCTCTGGGAGATGTCATGGCAGTCTACAATCATGCATGTTCCCCTGAACTGTGAGGTCCTTGATTGATTAGAGTTTTCTCATCCCTGGCAGAAATTTTGCGTAACGTACTTTTTGTACACATGTCCTTCATTGATTGAGCAGCCAGATATTACATTGATACCCTCTCAAGTGGTTGGCTGACTGTGAGCTTGATTGGTTTGCTGGGCTCAGGGTGTGACGCTCAACCTCACCTCACGCCCTACACTGCTTTCCTTTGCGGAGTGGACTAAAATGTGGAAAGGGCCCGGAAAGCATGCAATGGGGGTATTCCACTTGGGGGTATCCCACTTGGGGGTATCCCGGAAATCATGCAATGGCTGGTGACTGGGTAGGGTACAACGGAGCTCACGGAACCAATCAAGTACCTTTCTCGTTTTTGTTTTTTGTTTTTGTTCCGCGCTCCTAATCCACCAATCAAAGAGGACTTCCCACTTCAGAGCATGATGTACGATGATATCAGCGGCCGACCCCAACATGGATGTGTACCATTCAGCTACATGCCATACACAAGATGTTAGAAAAGGTTTTCTTTTTTTCAAAGCAAAAACACCATCTAAGCCCCCTCCAACAGTAGTTCCCCATGGTAGATGGCTCCTTTCTGTTTGTGGGGAGCATCAAGTACTCAAATGCGGGTCCAGTGTCTCTTTCAGAGAATCTTGATCTCTTATACCCTGCAGCATTAGTTACCTCAGGGAACCCAGGGCATTAACTGGCAGTGTATTAGTGCTGTGAGCTTTCCCTCTTCAGCCTAACAAGAAAAGTGTAAAATAGGGATTTTTTTTATAAACTTTGCGACTTCTTTCCTTTGGATGTAAAGTTATGGGATGCTGGACTCATCTTGTTTGAGGAAGATAATGGTTACACCGCGTCCTAATCCACCGAATTCCTTCGATTAACGAGGCCCAAAGTGAAAACGCTCCCGAAAGATTTCTTTGGGGATCCTCAGAATCGCCAGCCATTGCGTCCTTGGATTCAAGGGTCCTCCTGAGGTCCTTTGGGCTCAAGGAGCCGCTATTGACGGAGAGGAGAGGACACACACGTAGAGGAGATGTTACAACGGTTGAACCGGGATCGTGGCGACACCCTATTGGCTGAAAGCCTCAAGCACAACTGTTTATCTTTTTCTTTTTTCTTTTTCCCCACGATAAATTAATCAAAGGACTTCCTCCTAATTCCTGAGGATTTTCCAAGGAGGGTGTAACGAGGCCCATAGAGTGCATTTCTGAGATCCGTGACGTTCAGATGGATGCCGAGCTACCCGGGTATATATTTTTGGGGGTCATCTTGAGTCGGGGGTCATCTAGGAGTAGTGGTAGGTAGGTAGTGTGAGGTGAAATTGAGAGAAGAATGTAGCTTACTTAAAAAAAAAAGGAACAAAAGAAAGGGATGCAAATGATGTGATGCTCCCTCTTTTGTGTTTTTTTTAGATACCCCTGAAAGGTGAAGGGATGCTAGAATACCCCTAAAAGATGTGCATAGAGCGGAGTGCCCTTCTGACAAATGCCAAATGCCAAATCTTGTAAAATACCCCGTGCGTCAGTTTGACCTGTCATCTTTGATGTATACCTTAACCAGGTACCTGTGAAAATTTTTGAAATGCCCCGATTGGCAGTGTCGGGAGAGGGGTAGAGTGCTAGTTCTCACCCTCCAGAGAGCAGTGTAGCACATTTTTTTGTGCAAAGGGCATTCTACTCTATCCTCATCTCTTAGGGGTCTTCTAGCATTCCTTTAGCTTTCAGGGGCATTTGGCAAAATTTCCTGTTATTATTAGTATGGTTTGGTGGCAATTCATAAGGGGGAAGGGCAAGCCTCATCCCAATGGAGGCCCAAGCACTTGAGATGGCTCCAATGTATTCTTGGTGAGCAGCACGTGCTGAAAATGGGTCCGGTGTCTCGCAAGGAAAGACAGAATGAAGCAGTGAGCTCCCTGCTGATGGAATGGAGTCATCGGATCATGTTTTCCTTCAAAAAAAAGAAAAGGAATGGAGTCATCTGATGTGGCATTCCTTCCTTCAATCCTAGAGTGCTCTTATGGTACTAGGTGTGGCCAGCCGTGTTCTTGACGAAAGGAAAGGAAGAAAGGGAAAAATTCCAAGGGTACTCTAAGAAAATGAGCCTTTTCCTGAAAAAAATAGGCCCCTTTCACTGGGGTAACACAAAGCATAATATCTTTGATAAGTGGATATGTCCCAGAGGAAAAAGAGTACTTTCCGTAACTGGCTATTTTTGGGATAACGAGTTCCAGAGGGCATACTCAGGGCGCGCACACACACAGGTAGCAAAACCACAGAATTTGCCACGTTTGCTACTACCGGTTTGCCATTTTGCTGTGTCGGGTAGTCACACAGGGCTAGCAAATTGGCAAAGACAATGCCCCCGCCGCCCTGCCATTTGCAAAATTGCCCACTTTTGTGGTCACACAGCAAAACTAGTCTAGGGATCCCCTGCGGCAATGCCCCCACCGCCCTGTCATTTGCAAAATTGCCCACTTTTGTGGTCACACAGCAAAACTAGTCTAGGGATCCCCTGCAACTCTCTCTCTCTCTCTCTCTCTCTCTCTCTCTCTCTCTCTCTCTCTCTCTCTCTCTCCTAGCCTCCGATACGGAATAAGGGGGATAGAAAGGGAGAAAACAAGAGAAAGAGTGACGAGCTCAGGCTATCCGTAGGGGTGGCAACCAATTTGAGGGTCCATTTTGTCGTTTGTACCTTTCCCTATGTGGGATTGGTAAGGCCAGTGATATGGTCCCACTGGATGAAGAATTCTGACAGCTAACAAACAGGGAGTAGAGCATACACTGCTCTGGCTTGCTGTTCAGAGATCTCTCCTAAGCTGCCAGGTGTGAAGTCTGTGGGGAGTCTGTGGTACCCCACTCCCCTGAGCTGGTTAATCCTGTGTGGTACTCCTTTTTTCTCTTTTTTTTTTTTAAAAAAGGCAGCAGTCTTGAGGTGTATCCACAGGTGACCGCCCTCAGGTAAGTCGAGATTATTACGGAGGTTATTGTAGATTGTATGTCATGATTATTGATTATTGAGCTTCTTTTTTTCCCCTCTTTTTCTAACTGGCCCACGGTACTGCCAGGGGTGACAGGTCTTGAATGGTGAAATTAAGGGTCTCAACCCTGACAGGCATTGTAATAGAGCCGTGCATGTCAGCTACGATGATTCTGACTGAGAACTCAACCTGAAAATTATTTTACTGGATGTGTCCCGCCCGCCCGGCCGCAGCAGGACCTGAGCAGCACTTCCACCTGGCCTGACGTTTCCGCATTGTCACTGGTTACAGGGCGGCACAACTCACCCCAGCGAGCTACCAGCGTTGACTGCCCCCCTGGCCATCCTCCTCAGACCACCAAAAGTGGCGGCAACGGGGATAGAACCAGCGCCTATGCGGTGCTGCTAAGGTGCGAAAACTGCTGAGCTAGCTGACAGGACCCCTGTTCTAAACATATGATAAATCAGCGATTCGATTGCCTGCATTGCCAGTGGACATCCACTCGGTGTCTCTGATTTGCTGGAGTTGGTACACATCACAAGTGACACTCTCCACTCTCACATCCCATCATACAGGTGAGACTCGAGATGAGCTAGTTCGCACCAAACACCCCTCTTTCAGTGCTGGAGCGAGGGATCTGATAAGCATAAGAGCAATGCAAGGGTTCTGAGTTAAAACTAGAAGGTTGAGAGTTGAAGACGTGCTGGATAAGTCTTCTGCTTACTGATTTGTCTGCTCATGCCTTTTTTTGCATCTCCGCTTGCAACAGGCTTGTCGACCTCCCGCCTGTCCCGCTGGCCAAAGAAATTTGTGCTGACCCATCCAAGCTTGGCTCAGATTGCTAAACTAGACTTGTGGTTGCTGGTGATTTGACAGCAGAGAGATCACACCGTGTGACATGAGCGGTTTCTCAGTGATTGGGTCAGTTGGCTGTCCTGGGCTCAATCCTAGCAATCGATTAACTTGTGTTCATACCCTGGTGAGGTGGATTGGTATGTGGCACGGAGGGCGGCTTACCACTGCGCTGCTAAGTCCAAGAAAAAGTGACTGTGATGGCGAAATTGGTGAGAAGGGAAAGCAACAGCTCTGGAAGCATGAAGGAGTGGTCTTCCTCCAATGCCTCCATGCAGGGTTCGACGGATTCTTCCGTCAGCGGAAAGCGGGCTCATGCCACCGGACTGGTAAAGATTCCACAAAGGTTGTTAAAGGTGGTGAAAAAGGTATGGGAAGAGAGGGTGAAGTTCCCTCCAGGCTTCTCGAATGCCCGTTTCCAGAAGATGAGGGATATGAGTACGACGGCGGTAGGGGAGGAGGCAAAAGAATCGGGCGGATTGGCGGGCACAAACTTGAAGGATGGGGAGCAGCTTCCCACCGAGGGTGCAGGAAAGGTTCAACAGGAACATCCTTTCCAGAAGTCACATTATATAATGTCTGAGTGCCCGTCCTGGGCTCGTACTTTTGGGTGTCAGGTTTACTTCAACCATGAGTTTGATGGTGACCTGGCAAAGGATCTATCGCCACCAGGGATGGATGAAATACTTCTGGAAAAGAAGGAAGAGGAGTTGGGCATCGATCATCCAGACAGCTCATTGAAAGGAGTTGGATCAACAGCACCAGCAGAAGAGGTGGTGGGAGGCCCTGCTCGGCGATCAAGCTTGCCTGGAGAGTTGCGAGGTAGGTCACGTCGAGGGACTCGAAGTCCGCGGGATACCGACGGCTTAAGCAAACGTGGCTTGGAGAGCATAATGGCGGTCATGGCCGGGAAGCCGCCCTTGGAAAACCCGCCGGACGCTCTGACACAGAATCGTCCAAGTATCAGCAGACACCAGAGCATTGGTCCCAGCATCCCAAAGCAAGCCTCGTTAGCTGACAGGGCCAAGATTGAGGAATGGTGTGCAAGACAACTAACCAAAGTTACACCTACCAGTTCAGCAGAGGCACCAAACGGTGGCCAGACACATCCGATGGTGTTGCTGCAGTTTAGTGAGGTAAGCAATTGCACGTGTATGATGCAGCGTGATGACTTAATGTATAGTGAGGTAAGCAATTGCACGTGTATGATGCAGCGTGATGACTTAATGTATGTATTGTAATGAAATTAGCGGTCTATAAGAAATGGCAGGAAGGTGCCCAAGTGGAAGCAAACAAGGCTGGCAGATAAGTATAATCTTTTCAATTCTCATATGCATGTATGCACTGCATTATATTGTTCACAACTTCAGCAGTTCACCATCATGTTGATGTGAAGGAGGTGGAAACTGTTCGGGAGCACAACCGACATCCGAAATGGAGCATTACAGGAGTTCTATTCACACAGAAAATCACAAGGCTGCCCTGAGCACACCATGGCCCATAGAATGTCCAGGACATCCATGAAAGACAAGCCTGTGGGCACCGACCTCAGTCATCACATCGTGGATAGTGACAGCAATAGTCCAATTATGAATCAGAAAATCGGGCTCATGCCGGCAAAGCCAAGAAAACGGTTTTGGTGGCAACGGTAGTTTAGCACCATATCCTTATGGCCAGGGCTCCTCATATTGTTGGGAGCAGAGCCCCATTTGATACTGACTGGATGTGCTTAAACCACCAGTACGTTTCCCATCTATTTTCTTCTGATGCAGCTTAGGGGCTTGGCCTACCAGATGTGAAAGGCTGGCTTCCCCAAGCAAATCGTACGCAGGTCAGCACATACAAAGAGGCGCACAGCAAAATTCTGTATTGGGAGAAAGAGGGTCGGACAAACTGGTGGATTAAGCCCACACATACAAAACAAAGAACAGCGGGATTACAGACTGGCAAGGGAACCTGACCCATGATACACCATAGAAACAAACTCCCCAAACTCCGAGTCTAGCAGGCCTCTGTAGGGGGCTTCGATTCGTACAGTAAGGCCTCAGTATGGGCTGCCTTGGCCAACCAGACCAGAGGAGGGGAGTCTGCCTGAGTATTGCCTTAGAAATTCAGAAAGAGAAAATGAGTGTGAGTGGATGGTTGTATGCAATCAATAGAGTTCACAACTTGACAATTTTGTGGGGAGGCCCGGGACTCCGGGATGATGAAAAAAGTGGAATTTGGCCTGAAACGCAACCTACTGGCTCTGCACTTCCTGTCTTCAAGTTGGAACCCTCACCCCCCAAAAAAATTAAACTGATAGACTGCGCCAGGCGTGGTAGCGCAGCCAAGGGAACCCCGGGGGCCATGTCCCAGTTGTCGAGGTTTTGTTTTGGTTTGGAACGCACGGGGCTCCCCACAGTTCGGACAGTCGGGACAACCCGTCCACACTTGTCAGCCTTCGTGTCGGC